GTCAGAGTGGCCAAAATGAACAAATCAGGAGACTATAGATGCTGGAGAGGATGTGGAGAAACGGGAACCCTCTTGCACTGTTGGTGGGAATGCAAATTGGTGCAGCCGCTCTGGAAAGCAGTGTGGAGGTTCCTCAGAAAATTAAAAATAGACCTACCCTATGACCCAGCAATAGCACTGCTAGGAATTTATCCAAGGGACACAGGAGTACTGATGCATAGGGGCACTTGTACCCCAATGTTCATAGCAGCACTCTCAACAATAGCCAAATTATGGAAAGAGCCTAAATGTCCATCAACTGATGAATGGATAAAGAAATTGTGGTTTATATACACAATGGAATACTACGTGGCAATGAGAAAAAATGAAATATGGCCTTTTGTAGCAACGTGGATGGAACTGGAGAGTGTGATGCTAAGTGAAATAAGCCATACAGAGAAAGACAGATACCATATGGTTTCACTCTTATGTGGATCCTGAGAAGCTTAACAGGAACCCATGGGGGAGGGGAAGGAAAAAAAAAATAATAAAGAGGTTAGAGTGGGAGAGAGCCAAAGCATAAGAGACTGTTGAGAACTGAGAGCAAACTGAGGGTTGATGGGGGGTGGGAGGGAGGAGAGGGTGGGTGATGGGTATTGAGGAGGGCACCTTTTGGGATGAGCACTGGGTGTTGTATGGAAACCAATTTGACAATAAATTTCATATAAAAATAAAAAAAAAAAAAGAAAAAGATTTCTGAAGAATTTCTTGTAAAGGATGATGTACACTGCCCCCCACCACTGCTTGTCCCCAATACCTATGTCTCATACAAAAAATTTTGAGAAATAACTGACAGCTTCTTTTCATTCTTGACCTATGTACATTCAGGTAGTAACAATTTGGTTATTGGATGATCCTTATAGCTACATTATAGTTTGTACACCCTCATATAAATTCAGTTTCTTCTGATTTCCAAGAGCTCCTGGCCTAACCATTGAAGACTAGGGGATTCTGACTTGGCTGATTCACTACCCAGAAACTCAGCTCTACTTTGACTATTTTCTTTTATCGTTAAGATCTGGAGAAAAAAGGTATGGAAGAATTAAAGAGAAGACCACCGTAATTAGGTCCTTTAACTTTATCAGAAAGGGTTGTACCTAGTGAAGAGGGAAGGAAAGCGGACCTACTTAAAGATGCTTCCTTCTCCATGTGATATTCATTCTTCATGGATCTTCCTCAGTTTCTGGAAGGAAATTCAGCTTATAAAACTTGGATGGCTTCATGTTACAGAGAATGAGATGTGATGCTCTCTGCAGCAAGGCTACCTTAAACCTGCCCAGTTAAAAAGATCTGTATGAGCTTTGACTGCAAAGAGATTTTAGTTTTAGCATGAAAAGCCAATATCAGATCATTTGAATTTATTTTCCACTTCAGTTTACCCATCTGCTCCAGGAAATCTGATTTAAATACATTTTATCAGAAGCCTTCCACAGGCACCAAGTTACCTAGCAACTCCAAGTTTCCTTTAGTGAGTTGTTTCCAACATAAAGAGTGTTCACAACTTGGGGAGGATGTGTTTTTAGCCTTCAAAGTTTATGAAGCAAGAATTAAATATTGAAACTGCCATTCTCACTCTGCATGAATGTAGAATCTATTTAAATTACATAGAGTCTTGGGGGCTGTATTTCTAAAGAGAAATTTTTAATTAACCTACATGACCATAAACTTGAATGAAATAGTTCTGTTTAATTTGCACTAACCAATCCAAGTGCAGCATTGCTCACCTCTAATTTAGGATCTTTAACAAAATCTAATTTGGTGCTTTGCATTTTATGCCTGCTTTGGTACGTCAAAAAGATTTAGTTTTTCTGGACCTTGGCAAATAGATCCCTCAGCTCCATTATGAGGATATGTGCTCAGATCTCTAGGTCTAATGGTGGGTTGAACACATGCAGAAACATCACTCTTCTCCAAATGCATAGAAATGATAGGTAAAATATTAAATATATATGCAACTCTATAATCTAAAACAAAAAAGGAAAGTTTTTCTAGATTAGAAATAGGAAGGAATCCAGTGGTTAGCAAGGACGAAAGCTGCACAGACCATGGGGAGCCGAGAGTAGATAAAGCCACCAGGGGTCACATCTTCACACCAGTTGAGAACTGGGACCCAATACCTCCCACATTAAGCAGGAAGCTAAAACCTCTTTGCCTGCTTGTGAACAGGATCAAAAATCACTTTGCCTGTTTCCCAAGTGTACAACCAGAAATGTACTATTTGCTATGCCTAATCAAACTATTACTCAAAAGTAAGGAGGAAATAATGGTATTTTCAGACAGACAAAGACTCTGGAAATTTATTTGCTTATTTTTTATTTTTTAATTTAATTTATTTTTTTAAATATGAAATTTATTGTCAAAATGGTTTCCATTACAACACCCAGTGCTCATCCCAACAGGTGCCCTCCTCAGTACCCGTCACCCACCCTCCCCTCCCTCCCACTCCCCATCAACCCTCAGTTTGTTCTCAGTTTTTAAGAGTCTCTTATGTTTTGGCTCCCTCCCTCTCTAACCTTTTTTTTTTCCTTCCCCTCCCCCATGGTCTTCTGTTAAGTTTCTCGATACCCACATAAGAGTGAAAACATATGGTATCTGTCTTTCTGTGTATGACTTATTTCACTTAGCATAACACTCTCCAGTTCCATCCACGTTGCTACAAAAGGCCATATTTCATTCTTTCTCATTGCCACGTAGTATTCCATTGTGTATATAAACTACGGAAACAATCAACAAAACTAAAAGGCAACCAACGGAATGGGAAAAGATATTTGCAAAAGACATATCGGGCAAAGGGCTAGTATTCAAAATGTATAAAGAGCTCACCAAACTCCACACCCGAAAAACAAATAATCCAGTGAAGAAATGGGCAGAAAACATGAATAGACACTTCATTAAAGAAGACATCCAGATGGCCAATGGACACATGAAAAGATGCTCAACGTCGCTCCTCATCAGGGAAATACAAACCAAAACCACACTCAGATACCACCTCACACCAGTTGGAGTGGCTAAAATGAACAAATCAGGAGACTATAGATGCTGGCGAGGATGTGGAGAAATGGGAACCCTCCTGCACTGTTGGTGAGAATGCAAACTGGTGCAGCTGCTCTGGAAAACAGTGTGGAGGTTCCTCAAAAAATTAAAAATAGATCTACCCTATGACCCAGCAATAGCACTGCTAGGTATTTACTTATTTTTTAAATTTCTTTTAAGATTTTACTTTTAAGTAATCTCTATATCCAGTGTGGGACTCGAGCTCACAACCCTGGGACCAAGAGTCACATGCTCCACTGACTGAACCAGCCAGGAGCCCCAAGGACTCTGGAAATTTAAAACCCTCAGATTCTCACAAATGCAAATCAGTAGTACAATAATATAACTGTAATATTACTAATAATTTTTGTGCTTAAAACAAATTGGAACTAAAATTCTAGACAATTACATGAGCATTAGTTGAGAGTGGAAGGGTGGGTAGTTTGAGGAAAGTGTCATTGTTCAAAAGTTTTGTCTTCTTTGAAAGGATAGTAAGATCTAATTTAACTTAGATACTTTAAAAATATTGTAAGTATGTATGTAAAATTTTAAAGGGTATGGACTGTGTTTCTGACCGAGGTGTTGAAGCCTATGGCACCACCTCATACTAAGGAGACCTAAGATTAAGGAAACATGGAACAGAATCATTTTCCATCAGCAACAAAAAGTAGGAGACAGAACAGTGACTTCAGATCTATAGAGAAGCTAAATTACCATCAACAGAGCAGATTTTGAGCCAATAGTACCCAGAGGCCTAGAGCAAGGCCTTGTGTGTCACTGAGGTAAACATGTTGCAGCTTAGGTCAGAGTCAAACATGCCTTTTAGTAGACTAAGGCAGCAGTTGTCAAACTTTCTTGTTTTAAGATCCCTGCATACTTAAATTTTGATGCTCCAAAGAGCTTTTGTTTATGTTGTTTACATAGAGATTGATATTTACCACATTAGAAATTAAAGCAGAAAATTTTAAAACTCAACAGTATACAAGGACACATTCCATTCACTGTCAGAGTAATGATGTCATCACGTCATGTATCCTCTGAAAAATTCTTCTGTAAATATGTGTGAGAATAAGAGAGAAGAAGGTAAAGTCCTGATACCGTTATGAGAATAGTTTTGACCTCACAGATATCTCCCTATATCTCCCCAGGGGTCCCCAGGACCATATTTTAGAACTGCTGTTGTAAAGGACGGAATGTACCATATACTCTTTCAATGTTAACTTGTATGTAAGGTCTACCTCCATCAGATTAAGCCTCAGATGTGTTTCTGCTCTTGCTGTTTTCTGAGCTTATGGAACTCGTTGCCAGAAACACACTTGGCATTTATTTGGACCATTTATGATAGTGTTGTTTTGTTTCATAATTTGATTTTTTTTGTATAGATCTTCTCTCTTCAGTTTGAATCAGAACAAGGGCAAGACACAAATATTCTAGTATTTTATCCTAAAGGAATTAATACGGGATACTATGCAATTAGTAAGAATTAATAGTGATTATAATGGCTCTGAATTTATAAATTAGTTTTAATTATAATACTCTTATAATGATTTAGAAAATTATTTTATTAGACAAAAGGGACCAAACTAGGTCTGATCCTTCTGTATTACTGATGGTAAATAATGTTGGAGTGCAATCACTGTCCAAGGCCGGAAACATGGAGTCTTCCTCAGTTCCTAACTTCTCATTTCCATCCAACTGGCCAATAAATCCTGTCGACTCTACTTTGGAACTGTCCCCTGAGGTGGCCCCATCCTTCTTATTCCGGTATACACTATGTCAGTTGAGTCTCCATCACTTTTTACCTAGAGTATAGGAGCGGCTTCCTTATTGGGCTCTCTGGGCCTCACCCCCTACCTCTTCTGCTTCTAGTACACATGTTACTCAGTCACTGGAATTATTTTCCTGAAAAAATATTTCACCTTATCGTTGTTCCTGTGTAAAAATCACCCATGACAACCAGTTTTCCTCTTGGTAGATGCCAGAATATACCACATTTTACTTACCTAATGCAGTTGGCTAGAGAATGGTTTTCAGAGTGGATGCTCTGGTCTCATGTGGCTCCAGACAGACAGCCAGGAATAAGACCACCTAACTACATAGTCAAAAGACTTGTCTACCTGGGAAATAGAAACTACTTGGCAGAAAATGATTTTTGAGTTCTTTAAAGTGATCTCTAAGAGCAGACTGTCCCAGCTGCTCAGGTTATGCTAAACTGCTTTTTCTTTTTCTTTTTTCCTCCAACTCACTCTATACTTTCGCTTTGTCTCTGGAAGAATTTTCTAGCATAGTACCTACCACAAAAGGCACACCAGTGGTTCTCAACTGGGGCAGTTTTGCCCCCCAGGAGACATTTGGCAACATTTAGAGGCATTTTTGGTTGTCACAACTGGGGGCAGGTGCTATTGGCATCTAGAAGGTAGAGGTCTGGGATGCTGCTAAACACCCTGCAATGCACAACACAAAGAATTATATGGCCCCAAATGTCAATAGTGTGAGGTTGAAAAACCCCAAGGTATGCCATGTACACTACAATGTAATGTTAAAAAAATATATCACACTTTCTTGGGGTGCCTGGGGGGCTCGGTCAGTTAAGCATCAGACTTTTGATTGCAGCTCAGGTCATGATCTCAAGGTTCATGAGATCAAACCCGGCGTTGGGCTCCACACTGACAGCGCTGGGCCTGCTTGGGATTCTCCCTCTTCCTCTCTCTCTCTCAGCCCTTCCCCCACTCTCTCTCTCAAAATAAATAAATGAAACTTTAAAAATGTATATGTAATACTTTCTTTATATACCTTTCCTAAATGCCTTAATAACTTACATAACCATTTGCTTAATTTGAGTCAGCTTCTCACATGCCTACGGAATAAAGTACAGACTCTGACACAATGTTCAAGATCCTTTCAAATTTGCCCCTGCTTCTACCAGGTTCATCTTTCTTCACGTACCGCTGTGTGCATTACACCACACTGCGTTAGAGCTCCCATTCCCTGGAGTGCCACACCCTTTCACATCTTTGTGTGAACTCTTCACTGACTAGACTACCCTCTCTTCTTACTCACCTGCAGATTTCTATTTCTTCTTAAGGACCCAGCTCAAACAAAGCCTTCTCTGATACCCTCTCCTCTTCTCTGCACATTTGTTTCTCAAACAAGCTGTTCCTATTTTTTTTATAGTACTTATTTATTTGCCTCTCCTACTGCACTGTGAGTTTTTAAATATTTTATATTATTTTGAATTGATAGAAGTTAGCACTGGGCCTGGCACAAGGTAGGTGCTCAAAGTTATGTTTCAAGTATATATGTATTGGTGCCTGTATGTGTGTATATGGAGTCATGGGTGCGCACGTGCACACGCACACACATTTGACATTTTGACAAAGAGAAAGGCTGGCTGAAGATAGATTTCATCACCATTACTATGCAAGATAACTCCTCTCAGACACTTGCATCATTTTCCTATGAGAAGAATTTTTTATTTTTTTATATTAACTATAATTTATTGTCAAATTGGTTTCCATGCAACACCCAGTGCTCATCCCAACAGGTGCCCTCCTCAGTGCCCATCACTCCTACGAGAAGAATTTAAATCAAGATTCAAAGGACCGAAAAGAAAACACAATCTACAGAGATACAAGCATTCAAACGCCAAACCAAAAGATTGCCAATGCAGCACAGTACGTCTCCAGCTGAAGGACACCTAGTACAACACTCCAGAATTGCACGTGGGATAACATTTCATCAAAAGCACAGCCAAAGTTGTTCATGTTTTTCCTAGAATGTGACCCTGAGTCTGTTCACCAAGTGAGAGCTGGGAATTCTAGAGGCCTGAGTGAGTGTGTGCTCTGTATGCACATACATAAGAATAATACTTGCTGATAAATCTGGTAAAATCTGAATTCTATACCCACTGGTCATTTGTCTTAACTTTGTTCAAACTCATCCAGTGTTTATCAAATGATAATGAACAAGCTACTTGTGACTACCAATACACAAAGTGGGGAGTTGTGGGGCAAGAGTCCCTTGGTCTGGTTTTTCCCACCTATAAGATGAGAGTAATGATTTGTACTTAAGAAGTCAGAGGAAAAGTGGAACATGTACAGAAACCAATTCTGTTTGGATCCAGAATTAATCTGGAACATATGTATATATCTCATACAATAAAGAGATATTTAGCAGAGTCAGAAATAGAATATCACTACATGAGTCTTACTAATTTTTAAGTAATGACCTATGGTTTCTTTTAGGCTGGATCTGATCCCTCTGTACTCCATGTTCATTGTTGTAAAGAAAAGCTTTATGCTCAGATGTTCATCGAAGTCTGTCAAGAGAGGGGAAAGGAGAATATTACCTAATATCGAGCATATTTAAAGAAACTACTATTGGATATGAGCAAATATAGTTTTGAAAAAGAAAGAAGGGAGGTTCCCCAGACTATGATTTGGAAGCTGAAGATTTAGTTTGAGAATTTGGAGCCTCATTGGGGAACACGTTGACACTGAAGGTTTGTCACAGGCTATAGAGGGTTCTTAGGTTGGAGTCCATTTAAATCTCTACAGCATCAAAATGGCCTAGAGTACAGATCCTGTACTAATTAAGTACAACTGCTATACTTCTGCTAAGGGGTTTCCATGCCCCTGACAGATCAACAGAAAAGGAGGCTTTTATGACTCAAGAGATGATCAGTGTAGATAAAGCTCGATCATAAATGCAAAAGGAAGCCCAATAGAACCATAGCATCAAAGGAAAGAGTATGCCTGGTTTGGGCAAGCTTTGAAGTACCAACACATACCTCTATTTTGTAAAAATGCATTCAGGGGCTGCAGACACAAGCCCTTCTCAGTCACTGAGAAACCAATGGATTTAGGGACAGGTGGAAAGTCACAACTTGTTGGTAAATAGAGGAAAGGCTATAGGGCAGAAAACATTATGTAGGGGCTTAAGGGGTGACACCAAGACCAAAGAGTGGCAATTACAGGGATTTGAAATTTTGGCTCAACAGAAGAAAATATTTTATGATAGCCGTCACTGCTCTAAAAGGAAATGGCTTCCCTTAGTGAACGGAGAGCAACCTGTCCCTGGAAAGGCTCAGGCAGAGGCTGCACAGGGATGTTGAGGTGGGTTTCCAGATCAGATGGGTTGACCACTCAACAGATACCAGCGGAGCTCTGCCACGTGCCAGGAACTCCTCTGCCTTCGTGGTTTCTTTGGCTCTTCAAGTCTTACATTTGGATGATGCCAGTTGACATGGAATGTTGACTATCCTCATCCTCAGCTATTTTGCCCTACATCATCTTGTACTACTGATCATTAGCCATGCCTCTTACATTTTTGAGGGCCTGTGAAGCCACAGAATAAAATTTTATAATAGCTCAAATGAGAGAGCTATTAAAATTTTTAATAGCTCAAATGAGAAAACGCCTCTAGGAGGCAGGAAGAGGAGGTGTCTCTCTGTCAGCTCTTGGCAGGCTCCTTATGGCAGTGTGCTATGGCGGGCAAGAGTGTGCACTGTGTGTCAGACCGACTTCGCTTTCAGAGCCTTGGTTTCCTCCTTTGTAAAATGAGGATGAGAACACATCATAGATTATTGTATCTGTTAACTGCTTAGCTTAGTGCTGGCATAGAGTAAATTCTTGCTCAGCCTCATGGAGACTGTAATTCAGCTCTGCATAGATTCTGCCTAGGCTCTTAATTAACACAGCACCTGGTATACAGTAAGTGCTCAATAAATTGTAATTTTTGGTAGAAAGAGTAACATAAGGGTAGTAGCAGTAGTAGTAGTTATGGTAGTAGTAGTAGCAGCTGACCAACACTTAAGACATGTAGCCCGACTCCTAGTCCAGTGCTCTCTCCGAAACCTGGCAACGTGAGATTTTATGCTTGTCCTCATTTTGTTTTGTGGCAATTAGATGTGTGGCTCAAGACTTAGAATGTTCCTCCCTTTTAAGAATGAGCAGATCAAACTAATACCCTGACATTTTGGAAAGCGGATTTGACCTCTGTGACTTTGGCACTCTTTTCTCTGAGAAGGATATTGTGAGGATAATGTGTCAACAACAGAGAGACTCAGAAACCCCAGTTCGCCTGTATCAATGCCAGTTTCCATCAGTTTGGGGCGTTAATTATTAAAAACCCCCTTTCACTCTCAAAATCGTCATAGTTTGGGTGACAAACAATAGGGTCACTCTAAACCTAGTGCTCACCACTCCTAATCGTAGTCATCCAAACCACACAGACTCCAGACAAATTGTATGCAATTCATAGTTTTAAAAAAGTGATTGTTGCTTCTAAGTGATTGTGCGTCACTCTCCTGGGCACAGATAAGGGCCCATCAAAATTGTCCAAATGGGACCATTTGCAAAGAATTTTCCTGTTTCCCTGAGTATCTGGAATGTAAAGTTGACACCATTCTTTCCTGCAGGAATCTGTGTTATAAAATAGCATTTATCATCTATCCCTCTGAGAGCCTGGTGAAAAATGAGTGGGGGCTGGTGGAGCCCAGGTGACGCTCTCTTTGCATGCAGAAGATTTAGCACAAAGATTTCCCCAGGCTTTTTTCCCTGGGTGTGGACAGGAAGGTGAAGGAAAGAGCAGTTCAGTTCCATAGCCGGCCTGCAGTTGGAGTGGGTTGGGAGAGGCCTACTCTGGCATCATCTGCTCCACACTCCCCCAGATCACATATCAGCTGCCAGGACCAACTGGTGCTTCCTGGAGGTCTTTAAAAAATGATTTTCCAGCTGTGAAAGGCTGCGCTATTGTTCTGCTGTTTGGCCACCTTCTCTCTGGCTGGTCCACCGGCAGCAGCCACGCAGGGCAGCCAGAATGAGTCAAATCAAAGGGTCAACAGTACAGCAGCCGCCCAGCCACCATCCCTCCTCTCTCAGCTGTCTGATGTCAGATCATCAAAGGCCCTGCATATGGCCCTGTGCTTGCTCATCATTCACCTCGCAGGCCTCTAGAATTTTCACAAGTCAGAGGAGGCGCCAGGAGAAAATTTGCGGCCCCTGAGGGTGCCCTAGGGGTGGTTAATAGCCAGGGAGGGTGACAAGAAAGGGGGAAGTTTAGTGTGCTGTGGTTCCCAATTGTTTGGCTAACAGCCGGAGGTTGACCTTGAGCCTGCGTCTGCCACATGGCAGACGCACCAGCCGGGCAGCATGTTCTGAGAGATCGGGAATAATGGAACTTGAAAATGCAAATGGTTTTAATGAATACTTCTCCCCTCCTACACACCCCCCTTCACCCCATAGTTGTGTGTGGAAGAAGAAAGGTTTCTCAGTTTATAGGGGAAAGTCCCTACTTGCCCTAAAATCTAAACGTATAAGAGAGACCTGTCCTTCTGAGGCCTCTGCCCGTTGTCTGAGCCTTACAGGCTTGACTTTCCTGGATCATATCATAGAGAAGCACGGCACCCCGTGTGCCATGACTTGATCCCAGCCCAGGCCAGTGGCTAAATGAGACTACAGACAAAGAGCCTTTTATGAGAATGATTACCTGGTACTTAAAAAGGTGACAAGCGGCAGGTCGTGGACTTACTGACATGGCAGTGGGGTCTGTGTATGATGCTTGTCAGCTGTGTGTGTTCCTGGGGCTGGTTCATGGTGTTACTCTCCTAGTCTGGCCACGAGGGCATACAGAACTGGGGCGGAAGCGAGGGGCAGGTTACAGGAATGCCTGCCTCTCTGCCTCTTGTCAACTGCTTCCATGCTGGTGCCTCCTTCCTTCTAAGATGCAGCTTAGGAGAGAATCACGGGGCTTGCCTGGCCACTCTTCGATGCTGTTTCCAGACTACCTGATTCAGCCTGATCTCTATCAGGTCACTGATTTTGTGAGATTCATCCTTGGCCTTAAAATCTAAGCCCTGGCAGGGGTGGCGTAATCAACATTTAAGGGGATGGGGGTGGGGGGGAACGTACTCCTTCCTATTTCCCCTATCTGAATTCTGATCCTGGTGTGTGGCTCAATTTCCAGTACCCCAAAGGGTTTGCATGCAGATGGAGAGGCTGTATATATATAAAATAAAATCTATAAGACAGAGTGGGTCTATGAAAGTAAATGCAGACTGTTGTAATTTTGATTTCAGTATCTCCCAAAGTTATCAAAAGTGTTTTGTAAACTGCAAAGTAATGTACAAATGTAAGCGGTGTTGCTATGGTTATTTTATTTTATCAAATGCCTTTTGTTAAAAAATGCAAAAGTGATTTCTCTTGGAGAATTGGTTTCACGAAAACCTCCAATGAGTACAGAAAGCTCTAGCTTTGTCACCCGGCAGTTGTTCAAATGCTGTTTCTGTGGGTCACACGTGTCCAGTATTCTTTGCCCTGAAATCCACTGTACAGGCAAATTAGAGCTATGCATCATCTTAAAAATGGGCTTTGGAAACAAAACCAGTTTGTAACAAATTATAAAAGAACATGATACTAACATTTTAAACTGTAAGATATACCAACTGAATTAATTAATGGGAAACTATTATTAGATGCAGGGTATTTCATCAAACAATAACTCCTATGTCCACACAAACAAGCCTCATCTAGGATGGCTCATTTACAGGCTGTTACAGCTTGCATAAAAAAAGAAAAAAATTAAACTGGGGGCTCTTTGAATATAGCATAGTGCTGAAAATCTCATTTACCGTTACTTTCTAAATCTACATATCTTTTTCAAATGCTTAACTTTTTACTGAACAGGAAGCTTAGGCGATGAGCCTGGATTTATACAGTTGTTATCAGAATGGACTTTGAAAGCATCATGTGGTAATTTTTTCAAAAAGAAAAAAACTTGGGTATGGAGCCATAGACCATTGTCCTGAAGGAAAAGGAATCCGTCTGCGTTTCTGTAAAGGTGGTTAACCCGCAGGCAGAAACAACTGCTCAGGATATTTTGCAAATTTACATTTACA